CCACCGAACCGACCATGCACTGAGTGATGTCACCGGGATCCAGAGGGGGCGAGTCAGGGAGAAGTGGAGGCGCCTGGGCCCCGCGTGTCTCCAGGGAACCGTGCTGCTCTGTGTGCTGTGCTGTTTGCGGCCCTGCCCCGCCCCCCGCAGGGTGTGCAGCACCCGCCCTGGCTCCTTGGCGAACACGGTACACAGAGCGTGCGAGCAAAGCCCCTCTTCCATTTTAGAGCCCACGCCCACGCCCACTCGCATCAGGCCTAGAGGCCTGTGGTTTTGTTTGTTAATCCTCATCCGAGAATATTTTCCCATTGATTTTTTTTTTAGAGATAGTGGAAGGGAGGGGGAGAGACACAGAGAGAGAGAAACATGGATGTGAGAGAGACACATGGATTGGTTGCCGCCCACATGTGCCCTGACCAGGGGAGCCGAGGTACGTGCCCTTGACCGGAATCGAACTGAGACCCTTCAGTCCGAGGGCTGGCACTATCCACTGCGCCACACCGGCCGGGGCTAAAGGCCCTGCTTTGAGACGACGGAGAATCACATGGAAAATGCCACATTTTATCACCCCTTTGCAGGGTGGGGAGCCTTTTCCTGCCAAGGCCGTTTGGATATTTGTAACATCACTCCCGGGCCATACACAATTGTCCACTTAAAACTTAGCCTGCGTATTCGGTCAAACATTTAATTAACTCACCCCCAATCCCTTGGCAGGGCCAGGCCACATGATCCCGAGGACCTTATACAGCCCACGGGCCGGACGTTCCCCACCCCTGCTGTAGAGCTTTGTACTTTAGGGCAAAGTGAGAGTTCACTGCCCACCATGAGCTGGAGGGGCGGGAGTCCACTCCCCATCATGCCTGACAAAGGGCCACTCAGGCCCGGAGCTCGGGCGCTGAGGAATGACCAGGGGACTGAGTTTCAGGGGCAGGAGTGGCCCTGGGGTCGGGCCTGGGAATCAGGAGTTTCTAGCAAAGACTCTGCCCCAGGCTAGGCACCTGCTCCCTGTGCAGCCAGGTGACTGCGGACCCCACCCGGGCACTGCGAGCATCGAGCACAGGGCTGGCCCAGGCCTCCTCGGGAGATTGCGTGAGGGGCCCAGTCCTCTGGCCTCGCCCTCAGCTCGTCTTCCCTGAGCACGGGAGTCAGCGGATCAAGCTGGAGGCGACCCCATTCAGCCCTTGGTCCTTATAAGTCACTCAAAAATACGCCTCATCTCAGTCAAGCAGCCCCGGCACCTTTGCTGTGCTGGCCCCTCAGCCCAGTTTTCATCCCATAGCTCAGGCAGCAGGACAGGGTCAGAGGTCATGCAGCCCTGAGCCACCAATGCCCACCCTGTCCCTTCCCCTCCAGCGTTGGAATGTGGGTGAGGGTGCCCCGTGCAGATGGCCAAGGAACATGACTGTGTGGAAAGCCCGGGTCCTCTACGCTCTGAATTCCGGAGGAACAGGAGGGTTTGCCCCCACAGCGGCAAGGCCTGGGCCGCACACAGCCAGGGAGGGAGACACCTTTTTCCAGACGAGTAATGTGAGGGGCAGAGAGGAGTGACTCGCCCAACGTCCCACAGCTAGTGAGGCTGCCAGGCTCCTGGTCTACCTTTCCCAGAATTCATCCATCCACCCACCCGTCCATCCACCCACCCACCCATCCATCCACCCATCCACCCATCCAC